TAGAGAACCTACGAATAAAGTTTGAAAAAATAATAATTTTTTTCAGGCCCCGAAATAAAGGGAAAACAAAAAGTGAAAAGAGAAAAGAAACAAATCAGTAAGTGGGAAAGCAAGTTTTGACACCACCATCTTTGCCGATTTTTCATTATGGGGTGGCTCCACTGAAATACTTCAAATTTGAGAGACAGGTAGGCCGTATGGGGACCCGAACACCCGAACGTTCGCACGTCAGCTTTGGGGCCTCCGTACGTTCGGCCTGGCATGTATATATATATATATATATATAACAGGATAAGATCAAACACGAAATGTAAACCTTCCGCGATGGCATAAAAAAAAATGAAAAACATAAGCGTATGTATATTTTTGTATGAAATGTAATCACTCCGTGATGAGATGAAAAAAAAAATGAAAAACATGAGTGGTAGCTATTGGGACAGGCCAAATGCCGGAACTCGAACGCCCGAACGTACGGGATCCCTTCGAGATTACAGTGGATTGTTCGGGCCGAACGTGGACCCAAAAAAAAAAAAAAAAAAAAAACAAGAAAAAAATACAGGCGTGTACCTCACGTCATAAAGAACTCACAAGAAAAAATTCCAAAAAAAAAAAATACTTTTAGGCCCGAAATATGTTTTGGCGGGGGCCGAACGACGTCGGGCTCGGACCCCGTGCGGGACCTCGAACGACTGTACACACGGAGGTCTACCCGGGGACCTCCGTACGTACGGGTTGGTGACCCTGTATATATATATATATATATATATATATATATATATATATATATATATATATATATCGTCAAATAGAACTGCCCGGTAAACTGTAGGCAGAGAGGGAGAAGAGGTATATGTATATATATATATATATATATTCTGTTTGTGACGATATATATATATATATATATATATATATGCCATGCATGAGCGGTGCGCGACGTCATCCTCGACCCATAATGTGTGATGTGTTCACGACTCTTGTTTCTTGTTTTGTGTTTTTGGATATCACGTCGCTCATTCTGTGGGTGTGTTATAAATCCTCATGATGACCGAAAAAAGTTTTCGCTCCGTGACTGACTGCGCCGTCTGCCACAACCGCTGACGGACGGCCTCGACCAATCACATCCAGCAGGCAATGAAGACAAATATGACCTCGACGAGATAGATAAACATATAGAGACGGTCACAAATGACTTGAGCAATGCACGTGAAGTGTTGTTGACATTGTATTCCCGGGTGCAAAGAATTGTGTCGTCCTTGCGGAAAAAAAAACAAGAATTGGATAATCGGGAGACTCTTTGCACAATCCGTGAGCAATGTCTGCTGAGCGAGGAGGGCAAGCCTCGTGTCGATCACCCTAACCCTTCGACTTCGTTCCTTTTTTCGGGCCGCGACATTCATGGCGGCACCGAAGTCCAACTCGGTTTCTTTTTGCCACAAACTGCTGCCTCCCTATCAGGAAGCACGACCCAGACGCCCGACTCGGTCAGTACATCCCGGGACAACTCTGAGTCGTATGTTTCCATGTCGTGTCGGGGTTCGGGTCCTAACGAGGATCATAACTCTGCTGGCTGTGAAGGACGAAATTCTCAAAAGTCGAAGAAGCAAAAACAGTTTGGTCGTTGTCCCGGGCGCTCGAACTTGGACTCGTGGATCTAGGTGGAAGCATATTGGTCGGAGATAACAACCTCGACAATGATAGAGTTCTAATGTCAAAGCCATTGTGCAAGACGGTGTGTGGAGGCTTGTCGTTTGTCCGCCATATTCTGTCTGCAATGGAGAAGATTGTTTTGGATATTTATTTCCCTATGTTCCGCGCACCGACTCTAACTTCCACCGCATCTGTTGCAGATACTCACGACGCGACGGTATAATGGAGCAGGCACAACCTCAAGCACCCAACAACGAAGATGATGGGGATATGGTGTATGGCCGTCGACCACGACGTAAAGCTGTGCGTGGTCGAGGGGGCCCCGACCTTGGGCCAGCAGTCATCGTGGCACGTCGCCCACCACCTCCTCCCGCGCAAATGAACGGGGATGAAATACGAGCAGCATGGCCGCATCCTGCGTTTTTGGTGGATACAGCGGTAAAAATTGTCGGCGAGGAGGACCGCAACGACCAGTTCTTGCACATCTTGGTGGAAAACGATCGACTGGACGCGACGGCTAACAGATTCGCAGGGTACAGGGAGTTCGCGAACCTCTGCGGTTACACCCGCCGTCAGAGACCGCCGACGGAATTTGAGGAGGCGATGCGTATGAGGTGGCCTAACCCACAAAAAGATGGTTACGTCGGCTTCATTCCAGATCCACGCGCACCAACCGATAACGATAACCCTCGCCGTGGGTAGATGCTAGAGAGAGAGAGAGAGAGAGAGAGAGAGAGAGAGAGAGAGAGAGAGAGAGAGAGAGAGAG